TTGTCTGCTTCGTGGGGATGTCTCCCTGTTATCGTTTGGTTTTCACCTTATAATATAAAAGTGTCTTGAGGCAGCTGTTGTTATATGATGTGACATAAATAAAGTGAATTGAATGGAAGTCATATGTAAAACTGTTGCTCACGCAGGAGGAGATGTTGTGCACAGAGCTAACTCTGGTTGCCTTCCTTATAAGTGTCGGCAGAGACTCACTCTGCCTAAAATAATCAGCTGGAGGCAGAAAAGTTCCTAAGAAAATCCGCCACAGTCAAAGTTTGTGGCAGATTGGCGCCCTGTTACACAAACTTAATCTAAGCACCAGGTTTTATTTGAGTGCACAAGATAGAAAACAGTGTTTTCAAAACACGGCTTCGTGGGTACTGTGATGAAAACACAGTGTGAGACAGGTGAAATGAATGAGACTCAACAGTAACAATCAACCCCCTCTCCCAGTGTGTACTGTAAGGCTTCCTCCTGTATCTCTGCACTATGCAAATGTTTTCCTTTGTTATTGGTACTGTCACACACCAACCGCTGCAACATCAGCCACGGGCAGGTGGAGGTGATGGCACAGCCTCAAGGGCATCAGCCAGGAGACCCTGTTCTTTATTTCCCCCCACATGGTGAGCTCTTTTGTTCGTCAGTTGATTTTGAACTTTCACTTTCACTGACTGCTCCAAACTCATGGTTTGGATTACAAAATATGCCCCTGCTCGCTGAAAAATGTTGAGCTGTAATACGTTATTGAGTGATGACAAAGTACGCCTAAATAAGCCGCATCAGTGGTTTTGACAAAACCGATGCCTCGTGGATCAGAGTGGGATCTAATCTGAGGTTTGGGTTACTTAGTTTGTTGCTTTCAGCTGTTCATAGAAGTCTTTCTTCTGCGTTTATAGAAACTTTTAAAAAGTGTTTCACACATTTACATATGACAGTATTTTTAAGAAATTAACACAACATTATACATAAAACCCGACGTGTTGTTGAACAGGAAATGAGAGCGTCACCAGCCTTCAGTTAATCAAAAGAGAGGGAGAGAGGTTTAGAAACACTGGAGTCAATTTCCAATTTTCAATCTTAATGAACGCACCGTGACTGTGACATGTCCAAATAACCTAAATGACATGAAAGAAGTCTTCTCCATTAACGACCTGCACAGAGAAATGTACACATACGCAAAGATCCTTATAAAAATGCACGTGGGCACACACACATGTATCCCCACACACATGGATATGACCAACAGTGGTGAACAGCTGCATGCTTGGTCTGGAGTGAGACCAGCCACCTCTTGGCCACAAAGGGCTGCTTGTGCCCTCAGCTTGCTAGAAACATAAAACACAAGAGATAAGACCAGACACTGTTTGCCAGAACCAGCGGACCTCCCCAAACAGGAACTGCAAGTGCAAGTGTTTAATGCACACACACAGACACACACAGAGGACAGCGTACACATGCAAGTGCACCGCATGCTCACTATAAAGATGCTTATTTGTTAAAGACCACCTCTGCTGACCTACTAGCACACATTGCTAAGATCATCTGATCACCTAACAGTACCAAACAGCATCAATAAGCCCATTACACGTCCCAAATGTGACAGCTGATTTAAAGTCTCGTTTTATTTGCAGCTTCAGTTTCCTGCTGAGCCTGTTTGGAATAATTTTACTGATTGTTGATAACGTGACGCATCCCTGAGGTGATCATCTGATCACCTAACAGTACCAAACAGCATCAAAGCATCAATAAGCTCATTACACGTCCCAAATTTGACAGCTGATTTAAAGCCTTCAGTTACCTGCTGAGCCTGTTTGGAATATTTTTACTGATTGTTGATAACGTGACGCATCCCTGAGGTGGTTTAAGAGATGTTTCCTTATCGTTCTCTTTTATAATGCATTTCTTTTTCTCAGTTCACGATATTTACTAAACATGAAGGTCAAACTATGAACATATTCCACATTCTTTAGAAAAAGAGAATTCATAATAAATTAGGAAATAAAGCAC